CACTGTCAGTGGCAGGGGGCTTCTTCCTGCTTTCCCTTTCGCCTCCCTGCATTGTGCCTACATATGCAAATTAACCGCCATCTTTGTTGTCAGTTAACTGCCATCTGAGTTGGCAGTTAATTTGCATATAGCCCTGATTAGCCAATGAAAAGGGTAGCGTTGTACGCCAATTACCATTTTTCTCTTTTATTAGTGTAGATACTCGAGGCCCAGTAAACGAATTCATGAATGGGTGGGGTCCAGCCAGCCCACCCCAATTGGGGTCGATTGGGGCTGGCAGGGCCGATCGGGGGTGGGGCCACAGGAGGTTTTGGGGGGCCAATAGGGGCCCAGATTGGGCCAGCTGACCACCACAGTGTGCGTCCTTGTGATTGGTCATTCCAGTCGCTGGGTTTTTATATATATAGATACAACTTATCTTCTTTAACTCTCCATCAGTTTTAGAAGATTAAAAAAAAAACAAACCCAGCAGCACTAGCCAGTTTGGCTTAGTGGATAAAGAGTTGGCCTGTGGACTAAACGGTCCCGGATTCAATTCTGGTCAAGGGCACATACTTTGGTTGCAGGCTTCTCCTTGGCCCGGGCCCTGGTCAGAGCTTGTGCAGGAGGCTACTAATCCATGTGTTTCTTTTACATCAATGTTTCTCTCTGTCTTTCCCTCTCTCTTCCACTCTCCCTAAAAATCAACGGAAAAATACCCTCGGGAGAGGATTAACAAAGTAACAAAATAAAATGAAAGACCAGCAAAAAAATCATCCTATATAATAAAGACCTAATATGCTAATTAGACTGGACAGCAGAACTACCTTCCGGAATGACCATCTAGAATGACCAGTGGGTGGGGGCGGGGCCAGCAAACCTGTGCCACTAGGCCAGCCATGGCAGTCCTGGCACTCCCCACTTCTACAGAGGGGGCGGGAGAGGCAGAAGCTTGGGCCTGGTCCCAGCATTGCCCCTTTCTCAGAGGTGGCAGGAAAGGCGGTGGCGTGGTCCTGGTGCCGCGCCTTCCACAGAGGTGGCTGCAGAGGTGGCGGGAGAAGGGGCTGCATGGTCCTGGTCCCGCACCTTCCACAGAGGAAGTGTGTGAGGGGGCGGTGCAGTTCCGGAGCCTCCGCACAGGCAGCAGAGGGCATGACTGCGGCACCTCAACCTCCCATGGACCCTCCCCTGGCTGGTCTGGCCTCGGATCACGCTCCCCCACCAGTGGGTGGGCAGGGCCCAAGCTAAGGAGCAGCGAACCCGGCTTCTGTGGTTGAGCTGCGCTCCTATCCCCCGCACCCATGCTCAGCCAGAAACCAGGCTCATGGCTGGTGAGTGCAGAGATGGTGGCAGGAGCCTCTCCCACCTCTGTGGCAGGCGAGTAGTAAGGAGCGAGGGATCCTGAACTGCGAGAACCCCAGATGGCAAGAGGGATGTCTGAGTGCATGCGGACATCCCCTGAGGGGTCCCAAACTGTGAGAGGGCACAGACTGGGCTGAGGGACACACCCCCCCCAACCCCATGCATGAATTTTGTGCACTGGGCCTCTAGTAAACCATAAACCAAAAAATTCCTATTCTTCCCTATCCTTACTATACTAGGTAGAGAGAGAAAACTATCTTAATTATTCATAGTTTAGGCTAAGTCTCATCATAATTATCTATCCTCTGAACTAATTCTTTGGAAAATGTTGTATACTGCCTTTAATGCTGATTTCTTTTTTTATTATAATAACAATTCAAAAAGTAAATATCTTGAAAAATAAATACATTTGAGGAAACAATATATTAGTAAAGAATTAAAATAAGAGAATTTGTATGTTTACACTGTTATATGGTAACAATGTCAATAATAGGCTTAAACTTCATTGGAATATGAGAGAACAAAAGTAGAACTGATTTTCTAATCACTCAGTTAATTTGAAGGCTAAAAATACATTCTTAGTTATATGTGGATTTATTAAAATAGATTTAATAAAGTTCAGTGTCATAGCTAATGGTCTATTTAAACAAGGTAATTCACAAGACAATATTTTCTTAAAACTGCTGGCCTAGCTCTGGTTCTTTATGTACATAGGATCTGGAGATATGGGTGCATGCACCTGTACTTGCACAGACATATCTTAGTCTGGAGATGGCTGCCTGATGTCCAGTATGGTATATATCCCCATGACTTTTGAGTTTTTAAAGTTTAAGATTCTATCTAGAATCACAAACAGTAATTACATATTTTTAAATCAATAAAGTTCAGCTTCCGAGAGACATCAAAAAAAGTTCATCCTAATATATATTTTTTCTCTTTAAGTATCACAGTCCCTCAAAATTAATATGATGCTCTAGAGATGCATACAATGAGGTTGAAAAATAACAATGAGTTAACAAGGAGAGTATTACAACATTGAACTTGCAAGTACTTAATCTTATAACTTTTTTATAACATTGGAGATTTCACTCAGCTTTTATATATTTTTTAAAATCTTTGAAAGAGAATAAGCTCACTCAAACCACTAGCCAAATAGATAAAGAGTAACTTACAACGAAGTTTTCTAGGATCCTTATGGTCTTTTTCTTTATCTTGTTTTTCTATTCCTGGTGAATCTGGTGTTTCCTCTTCAATTGCTTCATCAGTTTCTACTGTCTATGGGTTGGAGATTTCGCAAACATGCATTACTTTGGATATTACTTTAGATGTAACAGCATAATTTTCAGAATAATCAGTGACTAACTTTCCAAATTATTTTAGGGAACCAATTAGCATATAACAGGTATGATTTAGATATTTGACAAATCATTTAAATTAGTCTGTTTTTTCTCCTTAGATGTTATTAATTCTGAATTTCCAATAAGAAAATTTACTGATAATTCACAGAACAATGGATTTACACTAACGGTGAAGTGATCTTGCCTCATTTTGATTAACTGCATATGAGTGTCAATAATAGCAGTTAAAAAGTCAGGCTACAATCTATGGTGCTAGAACAAGATGAAGCTACATTCTGAGAAAATGGCACAAGATAACTACACTTTGTGTCAATAGTTAAGCATTATTCAGACTCATGGATGTTAGGATTTGAAAGAAATCCTAGGAATCTTAATTTAAGGTCTAACCACTTTTATAGGTTAAAAAACTGGATTGAGTTCTCAAAGCCAACCTTGCTTTTTGCCTTCCACACTGAGGTCTTTATTCCACCAAGAATTTATTTTTCTGTATCATGTAAGGAAAGGCTCAAATTTCTTCTTGGATATCCAGTTGGCCCAGCATCATTTACTAAAAAATTTATTCTTACTCACTAATCTACAGTGCTATATCTGGCATAAAGTGTCCAAAGATATGGGGTCTATTCCACAGGTCTTTGTATCTATCCTGTTATGGATATAACATTCTATTAAGTAATATAGCTTTACGAAGTCTTGGCATATGATAGAGCAAGTCCTTACACTTTCTTCTTCAAGAATGTCTTGGACACTTTTAGCCCTTTGCATTAGAATAAGCTTCTCAAGTTCTAGCAGAAAACCTAATGGGATTTTGAGTGAGATTCAAAAATCTCAAATTTATAAATCATTTGGAAATATATTGTATCTTTACATTATTGAGCCTTTTAATCTATGAATATAATATGCTTCTCATTTAATTAGGTTTTCTTCAATGTCCCTCCATAAAGTCTTGTAATTTTCCCTGCAAAGGTCTTGCAGATCTCTTGCTACATTCATTACTTAGTATCTTTTGCCACTTTGTAAATGGTACATGTTTTAAAATTTCATAGTAATAAGTTCCTCTCTTTTCATCTGATTTATCCCCTGATCCTATACAAAGAAATGGAAGCATATACCATGATCATGGATTGGAAGAATTAACATCATTAAAATGTCTACACTACCAAAAACAAGCTACAGATTCAACACGATCCCTATTAAAATACCAATGGCATACTTTACAGAATTAGAACAAATACTCTGAAAATTTATACGGGATTACAGAAGACTCAGAATAGCTGCAGAAATCTTAAGAAAGAAAAATAAAGTAGAAGGGATCACAATACCAGATATCAAACTATACTACAAAGCCATTATAACCAAAATAGCCTGGTACTGGCACAAGAACAGGCATATAGACCAATGGATCAGAACAGAGACCCTAGAAATTGACCCATACCATTATGGTCAATTAATATTTGATAAAGGAGGTAAGAATACACAATGGAGTAAAGACAGTCTCTTCAATAAATGGTGTTGAAAAAACTGAACAGATACATGCAAAAAGATGAAACTAGACCACCAATTTACACCATACACAAGAATAAACTCAAGGTGGATAAAAGACTTAAATGTAAGGCATGAAACCATAAAGGTCTGTACATGGTTTCAGGAATAAATGGGAAGAAAGGGAAAAGATTCAGAAATATCAGACAGCATTAGAAAGTGGAAAGGAAGAATGGAGAGGGAGGTTTGGAGGAAGATTTGGAGGGAGGGAGGTTTGGAGGGAGGAAGGAAGGGAAGGAGGGATAAATATGAGTCATTCGATAGAGGAGGTAAAAGAGGAAAAGTTAAAGCATACTCAGATTCTATATCTGGGTGTTTTGAAATGAGGGAATCGTAAAATTGTAGAGCTTGAAAGGATACTTAGAGGCAATCAAATCCAGCCTCTCTATTTTATAAGTAAAATACTGATGCCCATAGAGGTAGAATACCTTAATAAGATCACAAAATTCATTAATTATGGGCATCACCTATAAATTCTCTGATAGACATCTTAATCTCTACCAAAGCCAGTGATTCCCAATTTTTTTTCTGTCTCTGATTAGTTTTAAACTGTTAACACATTCTCTTATGTATTCATTTTCAATTTTGTCACTGACATGTGATCCTTATTTAGGAGCCATGCCCCATATGGTGAATGGGTAAAAAATATAGCTCTGAGTATAAATCTGCAGTTCTTTTTGGTTGCTATATATATAAGAAGAAATTTATCAGGAACATGAGGGCACTAGTTGGGGTATGAAGGAGAGCTAGAACATCTGAGAATACCTTGGGGTATTGGGGATTAGAGAGGTGTCACTAGTAAAAAAAAAAAAAGCATGCTAATTAAGAGACTACAGATTCATTCATTTCACAATTTTGCCTCGGACCTGTTTCCACCAAATAGTACTATTTCCAACTCATTCACTCATTGAATAAATACTATGCACTAGGCATAGTGTAAATGTCCCTTCTTCTTGAACTATTTCTTTTTGGACCAATGCCTCATGTGAAAATTATTTACAATATTTTAAATAGTTAGACACTATATAAATGAGAATGCTAAAGCATTCACCAGCTCCTGGGAGTTACTAAAGTGACCACCATCTTACCCACCTCTGTCAAAATATATATTAAGAATGTGTTTTTTTCACATATAAATTGGAACTTAGATATGCAATAACCAATTAGAAAACCAAAATGAAAAGCTGCTCTGAAGTAAAAAAATTTACCTAAGTCAAACACATACCTGATTATTGATAGTAGTACTAAGAACTTTAAACCAATCATTAATAACAGTGTCATTATCAGACTGAATTAGCAGTTCTGTTCCTTGACGGGTTTTCAGCTTTACAGAAAATGAAAAAGAAAGAAAATTTAAAAAGAGAGAGTATGGTTAGTGCTTTCAACCAAATAAATGAATACATTTAATTCAAAATCTAAAAAATCACAAGCAGAACATTAGAAGCCATATAATATATTATGTGATGAAAGGTTTAAGTACTACACAGTAATGGAATATCTCTTATTTTAGTATAAAATAATATCAGCTGAATTCTTTTATAAAATGTAAAGTTTTTCTCACAATAAATTTTCAGTGAAAACCTTAATTTAGGGTCCCAAATTCCATTACACAAATGACAACACTTACTGAAATATAATATACTTTATCATTAAAAAATATGTTTAAGTATCAAAGCCATACATTTTACATTAGAACTGAAACATAATCCATAAAACTTAAGATATTTTTATATAAAACTGAGAAATTCCCCCCCTCTGGTTAAAAAAAAATAAATGTAGGGGAAAATGTACAAAGAGTTAGACTTCCATTATTTCCTATTTAATAGAAAATATAATGGCTTAGTACAAAGATAGCACAGATGACATATGTCATATCCTTTTGGGCAGAAATATTACTAAATTTACTGAACTGTCAAATCATGAACTAACTCAAGTAAGGATACTATTGTATTATGGTATCTGAAGGCAATAACAATTTATGTATAATTTCTTTGTTCAAAGTTTCCTACAATTGCTTAAGGTAAGGTAGTTGGAGAAAGCAATCCCATTTTCTGGTTGATAACTTTTTT